GGACTGGAGTTATGTGCAGAGACAGAAAGCAAACCTGAACCAGACCGGGACCAGGACCAGGGACTGGAGTTATGTGCAGAGACAGAAAGCAAACCTGAACCAGACCAGGACCAGACCAGGACTGGAGTTATGTGCAGAGACAGAAAGCAAACCTGAACCAGACCAGGACCAGGGACTGGAGTCCTGTGCAGAAACTCAGGACCAGGACCAGAGACTGGAGTTATGTGCAGAGACAGAAAGCAAACCTGAACCAGACCAGGACCAGGACCAGGGACTGGAGTTATGTGCAGAGACAGAAAGCAAACCTGAACCAGACCAGGACCAGACCAGGGACTGGAGTTATGTGCAGAGACCGAAAGCAAACCTGAACCGGACCAGACCAGGAGATGAGTAAAGAAACAGAGACTAGCTGTGAGGACACGGAGACTGCTGAGACCTGCCAGCAGGGGGAGCCAGAAGAGACAGGCAAAGGAGAGGAGGAGGAGGAGGAGGAGGAGGAGGAGGAGGAGAGGAGGAGGAGAGCGCAGCGTGACATCGAGGTCGCAGGAGCGACCTGGTGCGGCTGCAGAGGGATGAAGCCCGACTCAGACCACAGCTGTTGCTAACAGCAGCCAGTTAGTTTGAAAACCAGTAGGGATCCAACAGCCGTCACAGACAGAACAAAACGCTGCAGCTTTGTTTTTCCTTTTGGGTTTAAAACAGAAAAAAGCAAAAAACGACTTGTTTTTTTGTTTTTTAAACTAAAGAAACAGGACTAAAAGAATTACACAGAGATGTACAGATAAATATTTTATTTAATGAAGAGCCATTTAAAACCGTCATCATGTAAACTTTACATATAATTAACATTTTACCATCACGTCGTCATGGTGCCTTTCATTTGAGCCTCAGCTCCTGATTGGTTGAGAGTTTTAGATCAATAAATCATTATAAAAGTTTCACTGAGACCCTGTTTATCTGCTGGACCTGTATTATATTGATTCTGATATATAATCTTAGTCTCTGCGTATGGAAAGATGTGTACGTTTTGAGATGTTTTGTTATTTTGGTGTAAACTTTCTGAAGAATCTGTACAAAGATAGATTTTATTGTTAAAGTATTTGTAGTTTCTAGTTGTGTTCACGTGAGATTCACAGTGAGACTGTAGGGCGCGACTCTATTTCAATAAGTCACATTTAATATCCCTGTAAGACTGAACCTGATCGCCTCCTGAACCTTTGGCTTATAAAATGTTGTCTGTGGGGATTCTGGGTAATGTAGTATTTTAATGTAAACAGCAGGTGGCAGCAGAATGAAACCGAGTCAGAGAGGAGGAGTTTTATTTAAGCTAATTTATAGAGGATTTCTCTCACAGCAAGAAATAATATTTAGCTTGTTTTATTTTAGCTGAAACAAACTTTAGACTTTGACACGACTTAAAGTCCTGAGCAGAGACCCGTCCTCCCTCAGCATCATAAATGTTCTGTATCTGTTGCTTAAAAACATGAATAAAACATCTTGATTTTTCTCTGTAATGTGTTGTGTTTTTGTTTATTTCCTTTAGGCTCAGCAGTTTTATTCTGTCAGAGGAAACCTGTCCAGTTTACTCACTGCAGAGCGAAATGACTATAAACAATAAATATTAATATATTAGCTACAGACTTTCAAAGAGGTCATATTCTGCTCATTTTCAGGTTAAAAATCTTATTCAGGGGTTAAATGATCTTTGTTGGGAGTTGCACATGCTCAGTTCCTAGTTAAGGACTATTAGTCACAGCTGTTCTCATCTGTGACCCCACGATGGTGGAACGAGCTACTACGCCATCAGAGCAGCGGCGTCCCTCTCTCACGGAGAACCAACATGCACTTCCTGTGCTCTTCTTCTTCTATCCCCTTACAATTATTATTGCACTGTTTTTGCTAACTCTTACTTCCTTCCCTCGGTATCTACCCCATTAATGTGATATGTACTGTGAGCTCTTAGTAGTATTTATTGCTGCTCTTACTAGTATGTATTGTCAGTTGTAGATCTGTATTTGACGCTCTGTTGATGATTGTATGTTGTTCCTCAAATGTAAGTCATTTTGGATAAAAGCATCTGCCAAATGAGTAAATGTAAATGTAAGGACTACTAGCCAATCAGAATCAGAGAAGGGCGGGTCAGCGAGAAGCCGGTAAACAGCTCGGGTTCAACTGTACATGTTGCCGACCAGCTTGGCAACATGGACTGGAGCGAGAGTTTCAGAGTGGTGAGTTTTTAATCTGTAACAAAAGCCTAGGGTAGCTAGTGTTTGGAAGGGAGTCGCCGGGATGAAAGGGAAGCTGCTGGATTACAAACGAGCTGTTTTCAGGCAGTTCAGAGCAGAGTTTTCTGGACTTTGGGCTTTTTCACTTTGCAAACCTGTTACATGCACAAAAAGGGTATATAACAATAAAGGAGAGGGGAAAAGCCAAAAAGCAAAATATGACCTCTTTTAACTTCCCAGATCTGAAAATGTTTGCTTTCAAAAGCTTATTTTATCTTAGAAATGTCTAAAAAATAAGTTTAAGTTAATTAAGCAGAAACTTTTTCTTGTGGAAAGAAACTGGACCTGTCCTGTTGGGTGTTATTCCAGTTCAAAATTCAGAATCTCAGAAAGTGTTGAGTTCATCTGCAGCTCCTGAACACACCTCAGCCCTCTGATACCATCCGGAGATAACTGCTATCTGACAGAGACAAGACAACACACAGCAGACATATGCTTTTACTTAAGGCCTGTTCACACATGCAATTAACAAAACAATAAACAAAATCAATTCATTTCAAACCATCCTATTTTATTAAAGCTCCTCTATCAGAGTATAAACTACTCCGTGTTTACACAGAGTTCAGAGTCGATGGTGCTAATAAAGCTTTTCAATAAACTGTTTAACACTTTACTGATAGAAATGATAAACTATCCTGAGATGAAATACATAGAAAGAAGCTCAGCAAGATAATGAAACTAACCCGGCAGGCTAGCATACAAACTTCCTGCACTTAGTCTCTTAGGGGTCCAAGCCTGAGTGAGGTGGGTGCCCAGGCATGCAAACGAACAAAAGTTCGAATTATATGGTGTATTAGTTTGTTTTCCAGGTTTGAAACATTGTAAATGGTAATCTGAAAAGTGGTGTGCGCAAGTGTGAAAAAAAGTTTTAAAACTCTTTAAAACTCTCTCTTTTAAAACTGAAAATTGAGTTTGAAATGTCGAATCTTTATTACACTACATTAAATTGCCCTCGTATTGCAGACTATTTTTTCAGAGCTGAGTTTACAACACCCACAAAATTATCATTCTAAGACATGTGATTTTATTGCCTCAATTTGTGAGAAGGTGAATAAAAGCCAACTGTCACCAGTGGTTCAGTCACCTACTCTTGGGAAGGATCAGAGTTCAAATCCCCATTTCACCAAGTCCCAATTGCCAAGAATGGTGATTTTATCCATGTGGTGTGTTTTCAATTACTCACTGAGTCAGTTTTTCTGTTCTACCTGGATCCCATGAACATTTCCTATTACTTTTCTCTGCTAAAAAGTGTTTGTGCAGCAAAACCCTTAAACCTTGGAAACAACAATGGGCAGGTGGGTTGCGAATTTCACTCTAGGTAGGCATATATAACGACACTCTCTGACCTCAAGGTGATGCTGTAATAATTAAGTTTGCATTTCTGCAATTACCACACATCACTTTAATCTCTTAATTCATCTGCATTCATCTTCTCCTAAATACTCCCTTGGAGGAGGGAGGGTGTTAAAAGTGTTTTCTGTGTTTTTATTTAAAACCTATATATTCTACTCTTATGGTCGTATGAGTATTGTTTAATTGTTAATAAATATCTTTAATTTTTGCACATAAGCTGTCTCCTGTTTCTTTAGACCCAGTTTTCATGTATATTTGTTACTCCTCTCTACACATCTGGGCTTGAGCCACCTGAGGACACTTACTTCAAAGTGTCAATTTGCAGTATGGACTTTCCAGTTCTGCAAACAGCAGCTTCACTCCTGAATCCTGCAGGCTGTTTTTACTCAGGTCCAGCTCTCTCAGATGTGAGGGGTTGGACTTCAGAGCTGAGGCCATAGAAGCACAGCTGATGTCTGACAACCTGCAGAGCACCAGTCTAAATGAAAAAAGACAGTAGTAATTTATAAAATGTAGAAATCCTGCTTGTAAATGATTAGTCAGCATAATTGACGTTGATTATAAAAATTAATTGACAAGGAATTTCATTGTCCATAAGTCTTTCCATAAATTTTGTATATGGTTGAGATAGCAATCCCGTTGAGAATATTCCTAGTTTTGAGACGAGAAATCATCTGTGTAGATTATGAGTACTGGCATGGTTTTACGAAAGTTGATGGTCAATTGAAAATGTGCTCAAATGTTTTCAGGATTGAGAAGTTCGCCAGCAGAGATAGTTAGTGAGCCAGCCAGAAAGTGACGCTTACAGAGCCAAATGGTCCCACAGTTATACAGAGCGTTAAATAGTAAATCATTGATATATATTATATATATATATTATAAGAGTAGGCTACCCTGTCTCATCTTCTTCCTTATTTTTTTCCCCTCGCGTTAATACTAGTGTTCATTCTAAAAAGTAAACTTTGCCCACCTAATAGTAGCTAGTTAGTCTGTGGAGTATATCAGTATTTCACTTGAAATATTTTAATTAGGTAGATGGTTTAATTAGTGTTAGGGGGTTACAAAAATAATCGTTGACCATCAACAAATCGAACAAAACAATAGACAAGAGTAGTCGATTACAAAAATAATATATAGTTGCAGCCCTAGTCAGAAGAGTTCTAAAACATTTATTTTTATAATTTGTTGTTCATTCCTACAGTGCCCTAAGCTTTGGCTACTGCACTGTTTGATATACAGACCAGATCTTTCTGTAACAGGTCGGATGTAGAATTAATTCAGAGGTCACTGCCAGTAACAGTTGGACTCATGTTGATTTGTTGCTTTGCAAGTGACAGACTTTGGTTTACATTACATTTATTCATTTAGCTGACCAAAGCGACTTACAATTGCTATACATGTCAGAGGTCGCACGCCTCTGGAGCAACGAGGGGTTAAGTGTCTTGCTCAGGGACACAATGGTGGATGTCTCACAGTGGGAATCGAATCCAGGTCTCCCAGACCAAAGGCAAGCATCTTATCTATGCGCCATCACCACTAGCTATGTTTGCAATATGGACTGGTGCGCCACAACTCTGGACAGGAACTTGGAGCTAACATATGACCAAATATGCAGAAAAATAGACCATTAAAATTGCATGTGAACAGGGTTTGCACTTCTGCACTTCTCCTATGCAGTTGATTAAGATACTCAGTGTAAATTTAAATGTTCCGTATTTGTATAGCGCCTCTCTAGTCTTTTCGACCACTCAAAGCGCTTTTACACTACATTGTATTCACCATTCACACACTGAACCTAAGTGCTCAAACAGAAACTAACATTCACACACATTCATAGCCAGGGGCAATTTGGGGTTCAGTATCTTGCCCAAGGACACTTCGACATGCAGCCTGGAGGAGCCGGGGATTGAACCGCTGACCTTCTGATTAATGAGCAACCCGCTACACAGTGTGTGGATCCGTATAAAATCAGCTTTTTGTCTGCAGTTTAGTGTCGCCACAACGTTCACGTCATATTAACCTTAGCACAGAAGGAAAATATGATGTCTGACCTCAGAGTCTCCAGTCTGCAGTGTGGACTCTCCAGAAAATCACACAGCAGCTTCACTCCTGAATCCTGCAGTTTGTTTTTACTCAGGTCCAGCTCTCTCAGATGGGAGGGGTTGGACTTCAGAGCGGAGGCCAGAGAAGCACAGCTAATCTGTGTCAGTTCACAGCAACTAAGTCTGTAATATGGAATAAACACTCAGTTTAGAGAAGCACAGCTGATCTCTAACAGTACATATGTTTTTGTTTGTAATTAATTGCTGCAGTTAGTCAAAGGAATCCTCATACATTTTGAGAAATTTGCTTATTGGCTTTCTTACTTCTAACTGCTAAAACTGTGATTTGTTTATGCTGGCTTAACATTATTATTATCCCCACAAATGCTGAAAAGGACAAAAAAAAAAATACTCCAACAGAGAAAACAGCTACCTACAGCTTTATAGCAACCACATGTTTAAGAAGAAAGGGTAACCCCTTTGACATGTTAAGATGCAAAACCTCAGAGTCTCCAGTCTACAGTGGGGACTCTCCAGTCCAGCAGACAGCAGCTTCACTCCTGAATCCTGCAGCTCGTTGTCGGTCAGGTCCAGCTCTCTCAGATGGGAGGGGTCAGACTTCAGAGCTGAGGCCAGAGAACAGGTCATCTCTGATAAACTGCAGGATCTTAATCTAAATAGAGAACACAGCATGAAACCTTAAGCATTAAATGTGCCATATGATACAAATGTGTGTCTAAAGACCCCCAAACTATGAAAAAACACACATTCTCATTCTTTTTCTGTGTGTGCAAACATGCCATTTGAATTTGCTTCCATTGTTGACATGAAGAATGGATCTGCCCAGCAAAGGAATTCCTTCAGCCCTTCACTGCAGTAGATGGCACCACCCATTATATCCATATTTTATCTAATTGTTAGTCAATACTGGTGCTTACATAAAATACAGTGTGGACTCTTCAGTCCTCATGAAATAGAGGATTCGTTTTTATAGAGATACATATTAACATAAATATAGAGTTCATTATTTCATTTTAAGTCTGTTGTTTTCACTCTGGAATTCAGAAGTTTTAACTGCCCAGGTAAATGTTAAAATCCAGGTGTTATTTCAAATGCATTCAGTTTCACTTTTATTTATGTAGCACCAATCCATGAAAAAGTCCTCTCATTGCATGTTTTATATTGAGCAGGGACGAGATCCAACAATTCCCAATTCCCCAACAATGTATGACAACTGCTTTATTCAACCCAGATTACATTGCATTCACTTTCAATGTGAGCAAGAGGAAAGGAGATATTTGCTAAAAAAAAAAATAAGATGAAACTTAAAACTTACATAAGAATTAAGAATTAGAGATGATAATGCAGACTGTATTTTATGATAGTGTCATTGGTGAGCTTATTAGCTAGTCGCAGCTATTGTTAGCAGTAGTTAATGGGTGAAGTAAATGGTAACTAACATACACCACGAATCCCCAAAAGTTGAGGCAGAGCAGCTCAAGGACAGAGGGAAAAACATAAAAAAACATTTTCTGCATAAAATCCAACCCAGTTTCACCAAAACCAGGGAATAAAGTTTTTTTTTTTTTAGAAATCAGTGAGGCCTAGTCTCACTGATTATCAGGCCTTATCTCCACCAATTCTGTGCTGTGCCTGTTAGTTCCCCTTCGAGGGAACTCGAACTGCGTCGGTTACGACACTATGGGAACGCCTCTAGGCGAAGCAGGTCTGAACGTGAATGAAATCACTCCAATCCTATTGGCTTGTTGCTAGAACGGTAAGGTGTGACGGAATAACCGGAGGAGTATAAAGCACACCTGTACACACTCATCATTAGCTTTTTTCTATTCAGCAGGCGCTCTGTATGTTGTTTGAAGAAAGCTCCAGTCCTACAAGCAGTATGTCTTACCTGAGGAAGAAGTCTACCAGCATGTCCGGCAATCAGAGGTACAGAAGGTGTGTTTTTTTTCTTGCCCTCGGTACATCACGGATGGAGATTCTCATGAGATGTGTGTCTCATGTTTGGGGATGGAGCACACCCGGGCAGCTCTCGAGGGGGCTGCCTGCGGCCATTGCGAAACCCTTTCCGTGCGGGTACTGAGGTCCTGCATGGCTCTCTTTTCCGAGGATGGCCGGATGTGTTCTCCCCGTGGTGCGGGCCCGGCGGCCGCTGAGGCGGCCCGGCGGCTTCATTCATGGGGTTCACAGCGTGATCTGTTGGAGGATTTCGGGACGGCTGAGGTTTTTCCCGACATTCGTCGGCTGGCTCCGACGCTTCCTTCCCTCGTTCGGGAGCCCGTTTCTCGGCTTCTCCCGCTCGCGGTTTGGATCCGGAGACGCTGCAGCAATCCGACTCCGAGGAGGTGGATGTGCTCGGCGTAATGGACGATGACTTCCGGATGTCAGGCCAACGTCATCAGGCTGCGCCCGACTATGACGAGCTGCTGGAGGTGGTGACTAGAGCCGTGGCTAAGCTCAAC